CAATTCCCACTCTCGCCAGACGTTTCCCAGCCGTTCTTGTTCATTTTGGCTGGGGTTATTTTGTTTGGGGCGGGGGTGTAAAAGTGGAGATGGTCAAACCCTCATCTTTCTTTTGCAGATCAGAGGCTGGCAAAAGGGAAGTACGGGAATTCATCCTCCGCTTCCAAGCTAACACCGAGCTGTGTACGGTGCAATAACGAGTTTATTTAACGAGAGCTGCAGTCCCTGAGCTCCTCCAGCGCCTCCTGCAACCTCCTCCTGCACCTCCAACGGGTGAACTCCTTTCAAATTCCTATTTTAGACCAAGTACTGCAGTCAACGCACAGGAGCAGCCCCTACAAGGTCTCATTAAACTTCCCTTTGCATCACCACTGCTATTTTTTAAGGCAAGTTTTCACACCAGCTAGTCTTTTGAAGGGGAGGAAAGAAGCCGGGGGAGTGAAAGCGATGCTGTGGTTACTGCACTTTCCTTCCTTGTACTGCTCCTGGCTTTGCTCATACACAGAATATTTGGGACAGGACCCCAAATCGGGGATGGGAACCCCAGAACCAGCCAGGAACCACTGGGCTTTTCTTCTGAGGAGCCGAGGCTAATTTTCAGGTGAGGATTTTTACATTGAAGGCCTCGCAAACAAACTCTCACAACCGTTCTGTGCCCCAGTCTACTTCTCCCTCCCCTCCAAACACATGAAAACCTTTGGCATGGGGTTATGCAGGGATTCAGCACTGAGGGACGTCCCGACGCGCTCCTCCTCGCTCCGACAGGCGCTTTGGTTTCCCCATCCCGAACACAACGTGGCTTTATTAGTGGAAAACAGACAGATCGGTGCAGTTTGCCAGCCTAAATAGGAAAGGCTCTCAGGTCTAAGCCTTTACCTTGCTTTAATGTGTTTTAAAATCACGACAGCGCTCATTAGGGTCTCTAAGGTTATGGATTTACCGTTGATGTTGGCGAGAAGGGCGGCTATGGCAGGCTGGATGGCATCCCCGGGCACAGCAGGGTACGTGTTCAGGAAGGAGGCGACGGCGTGCAGTAAATCTGCCAGTTTGACTTCAACAGAAGCTGAGGTAACTGCTCCTAAAATTAAGAAGGGGGGGGGGGGAAATTACCATTTCTTTTATACTTGTAAACTCTCATCCTCATCTCTCTGGGGACGAACCCACTGCAGCACAGCGGTACAGGCACCCAGCTGTTCCTGAACACTCAGCTTTCGTGTGAAGCAGAAAATACCAAATGCTGAGCACCCAAACAAGCAGCAAACCCCCATGCAGCGCTGGGATGGACGTGGAAATTGCCCAGGTTTTAGGCCAAGACCCTCAATGAGGAACCTCGCTGCCTTTTGTCCAGGTTCTGCTCCATGAGCCCCAGCGATGAACATCCCCACTGTACAAGTGTTGAGTATCTTGGTGTCTTTACTACTTAGTTATTCCTTCCAGCAAGTAATTGAAGGGGTTTTGTCAATGCTGCCATGCTGTACAAGGTCCCTAGAGCTGCACCGAGCCTGTGATAACTTCATTTATTCTTGTTTTTAGGTCTATTTACCTCAGCCTCCAGCCTGAGGAGCATCCTGCAAGCACAGAGCCTATCCTGGGGATAAGGAAAGAGGGAAAAGCACCGAACAGGGTGGCACAGCATTTCTGCTGGAGCACATTTCCACGCTTGGGCTCCCACCAGCACCCAGAGCATCCCCAACTTCAGCCTCTCCTCGACTCCCAAATTTTGGGCTCCTTCCCGGTGATGAATCCCAGTTTTTCTCAAGGAGGTCATGGCAGGACCCTTTTCTTCGAGCCACTTTAGCTCACTTGTGAGTCATTGCAGTTGCTGTTGATAGCACTTGAAGTGTTTTTGCATCGCTTTCGGAGGAAACTTGTGCACTTAGCCGGTGAAGTGCTCCGAAATTTTATCTACTGATGCAATTCATTATAGGAAAAGACGTTTGCATAATTAAATACATGTGCTGAAGAGAAGTCACCCTAAATTATCTGAGCGCCATCTAAATTCATTGCTTTAAATAAATAAAGCAGCAAGAACGACACAGGGCTGCTGCTGCTGCTGCTG